CCCGGCGACATGGCCGGCGCGCCCGAGGTCGGCGAAGGCATGGGCCCGCGCCGCGGCACGCGCGACAAGAAGGTCACGCGCGCCGCCGCCATCCAGAAGAGCCAGAGCTTCGCCGACGCGTGGGCAGAGCAGAACCAGGGCCGCGTCGACGTCTGGCTCATCATCGGCGCACTCACCCTGCTCACGCCCGTCGCCATCCTCGCCTGGGCCGTCGCCACAGGCGTCGTTCCTACCGGCGGCTTGTTCGATGGCTAGCCGCGCTGTGCGCACGCTGTGCGCGCGCCGCGCGTCACACCCTTGTATGCGTAAAAAGCTATCCCCTTGCCTCGTCGCCTAGCGCTTCCGTCACATCCCTCCCCCCGCCGTCATCCCCCGCCACCACGTCGTATGGCCCGAAAACTGAGCAGAAGCTCTGCACCAACGCGCGCTTGGCCTCGTCCATGCTCGTGTGGCCGCCCAGCTTGTGCAGCGACGTCACCGCCTTCCCCTCCACACCGCATGGCACAATCCTGTCAAACGCGCCCAAGTCTACGTCTACATTAACCGCCAGCCCATGCATAGTAATCCACCTGCTCACCTTGAGCCCCAACGCGCACACCTTCTCCCCGCCAACCCACACCCCGGTCAACCCCTCCTTCCGCCCGGCCTCCAGCCCGTACCCGTCCTTCAGCATCTTGACCACGACCTCCTCCAGCGACCGCAAGTACCAGTGCAAGTCCTTACGATGTCTGGCCAGGTTCAAAATCGGGTACGCCACCAGCTGCCCCGGGCCGTGGTACGTCACCTCGCCGCCCCGCTCCGTGCGCACTAGCAGTGGCACGTCGCTGCCCGTCGACGCGGCCGCCTCCCCGCGCCGCAGCTCGGCAGAGCTGAACAGCACGTGGTCCAGGCTGCTCGCCGTGCCTAGCGTGTACACGGGCTCGTGCTCGAGTAGCACCAGCGCATCCGGCAGCGCCGCGTCCCGCCGCCGCGCGTCTGCGAGCGAATGCTGCAACTCCCACGCCTGCTGGTACGGCACTGGCGCCCGCGTTAGGTCGTACAGATGCATTTGCGAGAGGGGCGTGGCGGAGGGCAGCGGGTCCTCGAGCGCCAGGTCGCGCGCAGAGCTCATCCTGCACAGGGCGGGCAGGCGACGACGCTTGCAGAGGGGGGACGTGATCGGCGACCGCCGCAGCAGCCGCGTGGGACGGAGTACTTGGACTGGCATGGTAGACGTGAATGTGAGGGTGTCGGTCATGGCTTTTGGGAGGGGAGGGGGACGAGGTGGAAGAGAGGACGGAGATGCGGAGAAACGGAGGGCGGTCCGGACGGGAGGATGGGGGTCCGGCGATGAGGAGCTGAGGGCGAGAGCACGTTTTGATTGATCGATCGATTTTTGCATCGCAGCTCTACAGTACAGTACGTTACACGTTTCGTTTATTCATCATGCCAAACGTGGCCAGCGCTGCAGGACGCCTTTGAAGGACTTCCATCCACAGTCGCCCCTTCACCTCCAGTCCACCCCCGACGGGAGGGCCATGCCGTTTCCGTGGCGTGGAGGTTGAACAGAAAAGCGGCGGAGAGTATCCTCGCCCGCCTCTCACGCTCGGCGTCCAGAATCCCCGGCCGCCATGGAGCGAATGCTGCTCGCGCGCGAATGCGGCGAGCAAGAGTGCGGCCTGGAGCAGCTGGTCGCGCAGCGCTGGCTGTTCCTTGGCGCGGACCCAAATCGGGACATGGAGTTGTCGTCCATGCAGGGGGTCGACTTTGTCGATATCTGCACGCCGACGGGCGAGCTGCTGCTGTGCGGCGGGGGCGGCGAAGACGCCACCTCGGGCGCCTTTGCGGCCGCCATCGCCATACACAAGCTTCCCCTGCTGCACCAGGCGCCGCGCGACGCGCCCATTGTGTCGCTCGTCGGCGAGGACGTGTGCCCGTACGCCTCCGTCACAGGAAAGTGGATGCCGAATGACCCCGTGCTCTTCGTGCTGGGCGGCGGGAAGGCCGAAGTGTCCGTGTGGGATTCGGAGCACTTCGCCGCCGTGCAGCGGACACGCCTTGTGGGGGAGGGAGGGCGGATCACCGCACTTGATATGTCCCCGGCGCCCGGCGCGCAGACGGGGCTGGTGGCCGCGGCGGATGACCAGTCACAGCAGGTCAAGTTGGTCGATCTTGCGACGGGGGCGGCTGCGCATCAGCTGGAGGGGCATTCGGGGTACGTCAGGGATGTCAGGTGGTCGCCGACCAACCCGCACATGCTGGCATCTGCGGCGAAGGATGGCGTGCGGTTGTTTGATGTGAGGAGGTCAGGGAAGACGGCATGCCTTCTCAAGTTTAATGAGTTTCGGAAGATGCCGGATGTCGAATGGGGTCTTGACATCCTTGGACGCTGCGACAGAAGCGACGAGATTCGGCAGCCCCTCACAAAACGACGGGGTGCGAAGGCAACGGCCCCGCAGGTTTCTAAGCGAATTGAATGGCAAACCTCACCTCTCCTTGGATTGGGCTGCGCTTGGACAGCGGCATCAACTGTACAGCAGCGAAGACGGATCAAGCATGCTGCGCTTGCGGCGGTGCCCAATGCGACGGACGGTAAGAAGGCTCCGACTGCCATTCGCTTCTCGCCGAATGGTACAACTGTCGTTACTGGTTCAAAAAAGGGTGAGCATCAAATTTTCGATGTCTTGACTGGTCGTCTCATTGCGGAGCACAGAGATGGGACGTCAGGAGGTAAGAGCACTGTTTTCGAAGTTGCACGCGACAATTATCACATCCTTGGTGATCGATTCGGGCATTTGTATGCCGTGGGACTAGACTCTGGCGCGTATCTGTGGGAACGAATTGGACATGGAGGAAGAGAAATGTCTGCTATGGCTATTCATCCAATCAACGAAGAAGTCTACTCTGTCAGTGGCACTACTCTTAACTGCTGGTCCTGTGGTTCAGGCCAAGTGGGAGAATAAGGTTAGGAGAGATAGTCTGTATTTATTACACCTGAAAGCCCTCAGGTTCGGTAAACAGGGTCTATTTAAAAAAGCGCAGGCGAGCGACGGGGCGATACCGCGAGATACAGAAGACCCTTAAGGCGTTGGAAGTGAACGTACACAAGCATTAAGCTGCCTCGACGGTCGAATGCAATCACCGACCGAAAAAACGTGAACAACGGGGAAAAGAAATGCACACACGTTGCCAATGCAGTCTCAACAGCACTTGCTCTTTTGCACCTTGGGGTCTTCTGCAGGTGGATTGATGACAATGGTCTGCGTGCCCTTCGGCGCAAAGTTACCGCCGGTGCCCTTGTCGAGGGCCTTCTTTGAGCCAAGCTTGTAAATTTCCGACAGAATGGTACGGAAGGCGTCCTCGACATTAGTGGAAGCCAGTGCCGAAGTTTCAATGAAACTGAGGCCATTCTCCTCTGAGAAGCCCGAGCCCTCTTCTGTAGTGACAGCTCTAAGATGCTTCAAGTCACACTTGTTTCCGACGAGCATGATGACGATGTTGGAATCCGCATGGTCCTTGAGCTCCTTGAGCCAGCGCTCAACATTCTCAAAGGTTCCCTTCTTGGAGATGTCGTAGACCAAAAGGGCGCCTACCGCTCCGCGGTAGTAGGCTGATGTGATAGCGCGATAGCGTTCCTGACCAGCGGTATCCCAAATTTGCGCTTTGATGGTCTTGCCTTCGGTCTGAATTGATCGAGTGGCAAACTCGACACCGATGGTAGACTTGGACTCCAAGTTAAATTCGTTTCGGGTGAATCGACTGAGAAGATTTGACTTT